TAGTATAAATATTTAATAGCACCATACAGCAAAATATAAAAATATTAGCAATATAGGAAAATATAAAAATTAAACCAGAGAAACAGCACTTGTACCAAAGTCATAATATCAAAAAGGAAAAAGTACAATAATAAAAATCAAACAAATAAACCCACGGGGGGGGGGGGAACAATTACAGAGAAAAAGAATCCAGTCAAGGGCTTTAATGGTATTTTTGAGGAGGCAGAAAGAGAATCAGCAAAATGGGAGGTCCATTAAGGAGCACAAAGGGAACTGAGCTAAGAAAACTCAGGCCAAGAGAACAGGTGTGGCAACATTAGGCTGACCAGAGCTGATGTTATCAGCTATAAAGGAAGGGAAGGCAAGAGTGCTTGAGGAAAGAATGGCCCTGGGTTTCACAATGAGACCCATTATAAAAAAAATGGGTGAAAGGCATGACAAAAGAAAGAAACACAAAAGCAAGGAAGAACCAGCTTGGCCAGCACAAAAATGTACTTTACAGCAGAATTCTCATTTTTAAAAAAATACCAACAGGGCCAACACAGTGAATAAGTAAAAAAAAAAAATTAAATTGAATTTAAAAAAAGAAACTAATGTTTTTATAACAAATATTTATGAAAATGAGAGGTAGGAACCCTTCTTTGGTGGGACTATAATATACACAGTGTGGAACTCACTGAGGATGATCACAAAAATAGAACTATTTTAGGATTCAGCTATAAGGATTCTAGGCACAGAATCGAGATGGGAAGAAGACCATCCCTGAGCCAAGGAAAGAGGCCTCAGAAGAAACCTAACATACCCCCATAGCTTTTAGTTCCAGACTGTGTGGAAAAAAATGTCTGCTGTTCTAAGCCCTGACTATGGTATTTCATAAGGTCAACCCTTGCAAATGAACATAGTTGCTAACCTCTGATGGAGTTCTCAGTCTTTTCAGTTGAGACAAAGTATGGGGACCTGATAAGGTGTTAGTGTTGATTCATTGCTTTCCTACTTTGGGATTCCATCAACATCTAGATCAGTATGTCTCATTTCTTTTCTTGTCCTTCATTTTTATAACCACAACTATATATTCCTGGCCTTAATCATGAAATCCAGACATTTTTGCCCCTAGAATTGTTTTCTACCTGTTCTCCATAGAGTCACCAAAGTAAAGTCTTAAAATGAAAAGAAAACCATGCAATTCTTTCTGATTATTATCTTCAGAATTCTTAGTTTTGGTGTCTAAATTGCAAGACTCTTCCTATAGTATGTCCTTCACTGATTTAGTCCTTTGACATGCCATTAGTCATTAGACTACTTTCTGCCTCTTGCTTTTGATGTAGCACACCAAAACTATAACAGGCCCTCAGACCTTAGCTTGACTGACTCCATGAAGCAAGTGCCACTCAAGTTTTAAAACTCAGCAGGTAGACAGCACCATCAGCCAAAACTTAAAGAAAGACTCAATCCATCAGAGTCCATAGTTCTGGGAAAGTCTCTAAATGTGCTAACCTTGCCTTTTAGCTTCTGCAGCTCTGCTTCTGGCTAACTGTTCTTGTTAACTGAAGTATGTCGACCCAGGGCATAGTTTTTGTGCTTAAAAGCTCACCCAGAGAAAGGCTCAGTGTAACATTGGAATCCTGAACACCCAGTGTAGTCACCCACTGGCTAATAAAGACTTTGTATTGGCTTAAACTTATGTCCATGTACTCTTTTTGATGAGTACCCTACAACTAAAAAAAAACACCTTGTTGTATTTTGACATTATATAAAATGTCTTCTTTATGAGCTTGCGCAAAAACTGATCTTTGCCTATAATTTGGTAATTTGTCAAACTCTACTTATTGTTTATGAATTAATTAGGTATTTCATGGACACAAATCTCTCAAGTTCAAGTCCACTTTTTACGTTTCTTAAGGACATATAAAAACTGGGTAAATAGAAACTAACACAGTATCAACATACTCGTCAACTAGATTTATCTATTTCTAAACATACCTTTGTAATTGCAGCAAAAGTGTTTTAATAGTTTAAACTTAACTTTGTTGTAGAAAAATTTAAAACAGAGTAAGACTGGCCTGTAGGCCTGTCTGTGGGACATCATCTTGTTCACTACTTGATTGAGGAAGGCTCGGGTATCATTCTTGGGTAGGTGGCTTGAGCCGTTATAGGAAAGGTACTGAACAGCAGCAAGGAAGTGAGATAGTAAGCACCATTCCTTCTTCACCTTTGCTTCAGTGTCTGCTTCCAGGTCCCAATTTTAAGCTATATTTGCCTGGTTTTCTTCCATGATGGATTATAACCTATAAACTGAAATAAACCTATTTCTTAGTTCCTCCCTAAGTTTCTTTTGGTTATGGCACTTATCAGAGCAACAGACAGCAAACTAAACAATTACCGAGCTATGCTCACAGCCTTTAGAAGTACGTTTTGAATATTGATTTTTGTGGTTGTTGTTTGTTTTTTGTCAACTTGACACAAACTAGGGTCATTTGGGAAGAAGGCATCTTATTTGAGAGCATGCCTCCATAGAATTGGATCTTAGGAAAGTTTGTAGGGCATTTTCTTGAATGACGATGGTGTGGGAGGGACTATATCACCTTGGGTAATGCCACCCTCCCGCAGATGTTCTAGGTGCTTTAAGAAGCCAGGCTGACCAAGCCATTAAGTGGCATTTCTCTATGGCTCCTGCACCAGTTTTTGCCCTGATTTCCCTGGATGATAGACTACAAATTATAAACTGAAATAAACACTTTCCTATCCAACTTGCTTTTGGTCATGGGGTAAAGCATTTCCCATAGAAGACCTGAGTTTAAACTCCATGAACCAAGTAAAGCAGGTAATCCCAGTGTTTCTACAGGGATATAGGAGGCAGAAACAGGAGAATCTCAGGATGTTCAGAACCTAGCTAGCCTGGTATACATAGTGGCAAACAAAAAGAGATGCTGTATCAAGGTGGAAGGTGAGAATTGGCACTTAAGGTTATGCTCTGAGTTCCACATGCCATAGCACATAGGCATCTATACATAGCGTCAACACACACACACACACACACACACACACACACACATACATACACCTTCAAAAAAACCCAAACCCAGCATTTCATATCACGCAGCTATCAATAAAAACTGTACCAAAATCTTTGGCACCATTTACTGATACATCACATTTAAGAAGATAATAGAAACAAAATGATAGCTTCACCTTTGTCTGAGTGAAGGAATGAAATAAAATTCACACCAAAAGCCAGGATGGAGGTAAAGAGCTAAAATGTTTAATCCAGATAGATGATTTCTTGGTTTAAGACAGTGACTTAAGGTGTGTGTGTATGTGTATGTGTGTGTATGTGTGTGTGTGTGTGTGTGTGTGTGTGTGTGGTTTGGGAGAAGAAGAGGGCTGTAATCGGGATGTAAAGTGAATAAATAAGTAAATAAATAAAGTGGAAAAAGACTCCATTTAAACCAAATAATTCTAATGACACCTTACCAGTACTAAATTACACTATGAAATGACTTCAGAAACCAACCTTAAACTCAATCCAGTCAACCAGATAGGAAATTACACTTGCTTAGAACACTGTGTTCAATCTCCACTCTCTTGAAAGTACCTTCCCTGGTCAATTATAAACAAATGATCAAAAATCCCAAAGAAGACTTACTTGGATTGCCTGACAATTAAAACTGAACCTACTTAAACATTCTTCTGCTAAAACTGAAACTCACATTTGCTGCTACCAAAGGCACAAGCATTTTTATAATTACTTCCACTCTTAAAAGTCATCATTAGTCCATTTATTAACACACGTGATCCCTACCTGATAGTGCTATAGACAGTAGAAAAAATTTAAGAGAGAACTTTAAGACAATGATGTTGATGGAAATCACTCTCTTTTTTTTTTTTTTTTGGTTTTTTGAGACAGGGTTTCTCTGTGTAGCCCTGGCTGTCCTGGAACTCACTCTGTAGACCAGGCTGGCCTTGAACTCAGAAATCTGCCTGCCTCTGCCTCCCAAGTGCTGGGATTAAAGGCGTGTGCCACCACTGCCCAGCGGAAATCACTCTTAAGACAGAAGAAACTGCTTTCATTTTGTACTCACATTTTAAGAGCACCTGAATAATACTGTATAAATTTATGTGGCAAAAAAAAATGTCTCTTTAAATACTTTAATTTCTTTTGGGAGTTTCTGTGTTTTGAAACATCCCTTGTGGGGTTAAAACATAATAAATATTTAGAAAGAAACATTTCTTTTAGTTGAAAGAGCAGTTCACTGTTAGCAGCAGATAGGATCATGAGCACATAGCACATGGCCAGTCATAAGACTCTCTAATGAGATTGTGATCAGTTTCTTTGCACACACATCTGTCCTTCTTCCTGGAGGCATCAACTTTAACCTTCATTTCTGCCTGTGAGTGTTTCCTGCTTTGCATCTGGGGCTAATCTATTCCTTCTAGTCATAGCATCTCTATGTTGATGGTGAATCTCTCTTTAAAGCACACTTTACTTTTTCAATACTTGGTAGCTGTTCAGATAAATTAATTACAGAAAAAATGAGTTTATAGGGTGCAATAAAATGCTTGCATATGTGTATACAATGTATAATGATGAAAGCAGGATAACTAGAAGATTGATTACCTCATAAACTTAGCATTTGGGTTTGGATCCATATTTCTAATCTCTTCTAGGTATGTGCAATCAAATGTCAACTCTACTCACCCTAATGTGTTATAGCACACTAGAAGTAAGTCCTGGTAATTGTAGCCTGATACCTTTTAAGCATCCTGTCTCCATGCTTATATTTCTATTCTTAGGCTCTGGCAGGCATTATTATAGTTGCATGCAATTCTCAATGTTTTTAATGATGACTTAAACCAATATGAGAAGCTTTATCTGTTGCTAATAGGAGCTATAACACAACACTGGAGAATGAAATCAAATATTAATGTGTATGCAACAGAGTTCCATCAACTTTTGTAAGACATAATAACTAAAACAGCAAGACACGATGGAATGAACATACTTCGTATGTTGTGTTTGCTTCCTTTCATTTGTGCAGAAGAATGGAGCTGAGGAACAGGAACCCTGCAAATGATAAGAAAATAAGAAAACCACAAATTATAAAAAGGAGACTTAAATGGGAAAAAAACCTAACTGAGTCTATTCAGAATTTATTTTAATTCAGTACATTTCTTAAAGTAATACATTAAATATACCCATAATTACCAAAAAGTACATACATAATGTAGTTCAAACCCCTCCAATGGAGTTAAATTTTATTACAAAAAGGAACATTTAGCTTCAAACATTTTCATTATCGTATGGGAATTTCAAAATAAACGCTATGACCTTGTTCTCCTGCTTTCTTCAACAGGTCTGTAAAACAACCACCTTTCCTGTCCTACAACTTTATAGCTAGTTCCATACTACTTCAGATCTGCATTTACTTTTTTTTTCAAGCAAGTAACAATTCTATGCCTCTTTTCTTCTGTTTATCTCTCTTTTGTCCTTCAAACTTTAACTCAATTATTTCTTATAGAATCCTACCCTGATTTTTATTCAGGGCTAACTGCTCCTTTTACATGCCAAGATAGTACCAGAATAAACAGTGTTGCCTGATACTGTCCTCTGTGCATGGCATGGCCATTGCCTTCTTGAACTACTAGCAGCTGAGATTACTGATTACTAAAGATAGCACAAGAAGATTGGGTTCACTGATGTTCCTTCATGAAGGGAGGGGACTGAAGAGTTCCTACCCTTCCCCGAATTGAATTCTATAAGCATTTAACAGTGGTTAGGAAGGGGGGGTGGTTCTTCAGTGGTACAGCTGCTTCTAAATTCCCTATGACTCCTTACCCATGACCCTGTTAAATCCCAATTAAACTCACTGGCGTAAGAAGCTGGGCCTGGGAAGAATCATTTGAAATAGATGTTTGTCCATCTTAACAGAAAAAGTTCACCCAACACACAACCCTAATCCATATCACAACAGAATTAAAAAGAAATCTTGGAGACTTAGCATTGTGTCTGTTGTGGGCTATGAAGAATGTAGCTGAAGCTAAGCTGTCTGAGGGTAAAACATCTATGCATGGAATCCAGGTATGGTTGTCCTTCCCAGTGTGGTATAGAATCTTAAGCAAGCTGTGGTGTCCATTGTATGATCCTTGCTCTGGACAGTAAGACAAGTACTTGACTTCCAGTTTTCTGCCTAGAATGATTCTGCCTACGTAATAGAGGAAATACAACAAGAAAAAAACCACATGGATGCTATGTTCTGCACTAGCTACTAAATTAGCAGGAAGAATAAAAGAGAGAGGGGAAAGGGGGAGAGAGAATATGATACAGGCATTGGCTTGCAATTTTTTATTAGAACATAAGGAAAAGAGTAAAAATTATATCTGTCCTAAATAGCCTCTCTTGGGATACCTAAACTTGGATTCCATGGGTAGAACTGAGCAATGAAGAGGGAGTGAGGCAGAAGTGATACAAGATACCTCTCAGTAGTGGTTTGAGTATGCTTGGCCCAGGGAGTGATACTATTAGGAGGTGTGGCCTAGTTGGAGTAGGTGTGACCTTGTTAGAAGTGTGTCATTGTGAGGGTGGGCTTTGAGATCCTACTTCTAGCTGCCTAGAAGACAGCCTGCTCCTGACTTCCTTTCCATCAAGATGTAGAACTCTTAGGTCCTCCTGCACCATGCCTGCCTGGACACTACCATGCTCCCACCTTGATGATAAAGGACTGAACCTCTGAACCTGTAAGCCAGCCCCAATTAAATGTTGTCTTTTATTTTATTTATTATTTATTTATTTATTTTTGGTTTTTAGAGACAGGGTTTCTCTGTGTAGCCCTGGCTGTCGTGGAACTCACTCTGTAGACCAGGCTGGCCTTGAACTCAGAAATCGGCCTGCCTCTGCCTCCCAAGTTCTGGGATTAAAGGTGTGTGCCACCACAGCCCGGCAAATGTTGTCTTTTATAAGAGTTGCCTTGGACATGGTGTCTGTTCACAGCAGTAAAACCCTAAGTAAAACACAGAGGAAGGGAAAACATGCAGAATACAGAGGGAGCCTTTAAAACGTCCTGAATAATAACACGAACTCCTATAATCTGAAATAGTCTGACTTAGAACTATGCAGCTTTCCAAAAGACAAAGACTACATAATGAGGGAAATCATTCCCTGATTGACTGACTTATAAGAGCCCTTAGAGACACTTGGTTATCACTGGCTGAGGTCCCCATGAACATCAGGGACTTGAAGACAATAGAATGACAAGCATTAATGAAGGAAATAAGTATACACAGGCAATCTTTGATGCTCAGTCATGGGGCCATATCGGACTGCGTTCACACAACATCCAAGGAAGGAGTTGGTTGATAGAGCAGGGACTGGTATGAAGCTTTAGTGCCTTTAGTGCCTTTGCTGAACCCCATGGTGCCACACAATCTTTGAGGTAGGAGAGACTGAAAGACTTAGGTTAGCATATAGATCAGGTTTGTAAAGTGCTAAAGCAATTAAAAGGATGTAAGAAAAGGCAAAAGCAGACTGAAGTGTTTGTCTAGGTCACTCAAAAAGCAAATGAGGCAAGAAGTGTGTGAAGCTAGAGTTTCTAAAGAGAAACAAGACAGAAAGCCAAATTCAATTTTTTAAGCCTTGAGAAGCTGTTTAAGCCTGAATAGAAGTTAATGAAGGTATAATGAGAAAGAAGTGAGGGTTAGTAAGACCAAGTTTGTCTCAGGAGTGCACTTTGCCCTCAGAACTGGCGATATATGTATCTCTTCTATAAGAAAGGATATTGGGAGTGGGAATTTCTTTGTTCAGCTCAAGGCTGTCTCAGAAGCAGATGTGGTTAATGGAAAAAACATCAGCTTGGCCCTAGAGATTGTCAGACGCAAGGAGCCTGTGAGAAAACAGCACGTGAGAGCACAGTCTTGACTGTCAGAACAAAGAGACAGTGCTCACACTTTGCAAGACAGTTTTATAGATGGTGTAATGCTAACCAGTAAGACTTTTGTAGATTTAGAAAAGCATCTGAAAGACATGAAAGCACCCCTAAAGAAGGAAGGATAGAAGATCAGTTCACACAGTGCACAGGCACTATGCAAACCTTTTAAACTCATGAGATCTTTTGTGGTTTGGAAAGGTACAGATGACACATGAAAAAGTGAAAGAGATAAATCATGAAATACCCAGTGCCTATACAAGTTAAAATCACAGGGTGTTTTCAAGATATTTTGATTAGAAATAGCTGAGAGTAGTTAATGGACAACAGTCCAGATTACTTTACATAGTTTTCAAAATGTCAGAAATCCACAGAATATGGCATTTAATGTCATATAATCATTTGTTGTTGAGACATATCTGCTCTTGACAGCACCTCATTCTTGGATTGTAGTCTCATAGTCAACCCAAGCTGTTTAACATTGAGAAAAATGATACAGATTTGAGAGGATGGTTTTCAGATAGTATACAAGCTAAACCAGGATATAATAGGTGTAGAATTATAAGCCTTTTAAGTTAGATAGATGGTAGACTGCTTTATCTAAATTGACAGATTGACAGACAAGATGTCATTTGTACCTCATACTATATAATTATACTTATGATTTTTTCAATCATTTCTGGGAGGAGAGTTTTTTTTTTTAAATTGGACAGAAAAGGTGAGATGTAGAAGAATTCTCCCCTAATTAATTTAATAATAAAGATGAAAAGAAACCAATCACTGAGAAAGAAGAAGGCAGGCTTTCAGGGTCCAAGAGAGGAAAAGGGAAGACAGGAGGAGGGCACTTTCTTTTGGATGGAGGTGAGCAAAAGCAGGCAAAATGTAGATCTGGGACTGTTAGATCTGGTAGCAGAATCCACCAGAATCTGCCACCAGAAGATTTCTAACATAGAATAGTTAAGTTTAGGATGATAGATTCCGTGCCCAGCGATTGTGTTATCTAAACTAAGATTGTCTGGCGTTTTCCATTCTGCCAGGCTTTGGGACTGGAAGATCGGGCAAGGACTGAGATCCAGGGGAAAGGTAGCTAGCAGAGCAGGGCATAGGCTGGCGAGAGCATACCTACTGCTGCCCCTGGGTACCAAGAGAGCTATCTTGGAGCTCTGGAGAGGTAGAGCCAACTTTGGTGGGAGAAGCTTTGGTTGGGGGAAAGATGCAGTCTCAGGCTATGTGCCAGGCTGGGAACAGACAGAGACCACCAGCCGGTGCTAAACTGGGGATAACGTGGATTGATTTTTTAATAATTACACACAGCAGAGTGTGTGAACAAAGGTACTCTGAGCAGACAGGAAAAGATGCTCTCAGAAGCCATGTGGCTATTAGATGAAATTTCTATTATTGAGGATGGACTATTTCCCTTTGAGCTATTGTCCAGGGAAGATTCTGAGGCCCCTAAAACAATATAGGCTACTGACATTGCTGTTGATTGTCCATCTGTTAGACTTTTGACTGAAGACACCACAGGTTTTGGTTGTAGAGCATGAAGAAACAAAGCTTGAACTGAGCTGGAAATTTCCTACCTGTTGGTCAGTTTTCATAGTGTTAGGAGGTACTATACAGGCTGTTGGGGAAGGAAAGCCATCAACATTCCTACATGGTTGTGGACTCTGCATGTTGTATCACCAACATGCTAGGCAAGGCGACCACTAGTGCAATAGTGACATGACTGTTTTCCGATTAGATTTGGCTCACTCCAAACAAGAGAATTTGAATTTGGTGTTATAAATGTAGTCAAAAGCCCATGCCTAAGGAAATCATAGGCTCTAATAGGGAAGCTACAGTTATTGTTTTTTCTCAGTAGGTATACTGTATCTCTTAAGTTTCCTTCTAAACATTTATTACACTTGCTATGCAAGTCTATTTCCAGACCTGTAGCCCTGAAACTTCTTCATTTGTAAACTACCTTTGCCTGGTAAGTCACCATCCCTTCCCCACACCCACCACTATCAAACACAAAAGCATAGTTTCAGACCATAGCCCACTAACCCTCTTTGTTCCTGATGTACCTTTGCTGGGTAAGCAGCTTCCTCCTTTTCTTTTTTTTTTTTTTATTGGATGATTTATTTACATTTCCTATGTTGTCCCC